ACACATGAAAGGATGTGGGAGACAAGCCAGCCGGGAACCCGACCACAAGCACCCACAAATGAAAAGAACTGGGAGACAAATGAAAGCAAGTTGCAGACAAGCCAGCCGGGAACCCGACCGCAAGCACCCAGCCTGGGAGACAAATGAAAGGAATTGGAAGACAAATGAGAAAAAGTGGGGGACACATGAAAGGAAGTGGGAGACAAGCCAGCCAGGAACCCGACCACAAGCAACCAGCCTGGGAAACAAATGAAAAGAATTGGGAGACAAATGAAAGGAAGTGGGAGACAAGCCAGCCTGGAACCGGACCACAAGCACCCACCCTGGGAGACAAATGAAAAGAACTGGGAGACAAATGAAAGGAAGTGGGAGACAAGCCAGCCGGGAACCCGACCACAAGCACCCAGCCTGGGAGACAAATGAAAAGAATTGGGAGACAAATGAAAGGAAGTGGGAGACAAGCCAGCCTGGAACCCGACCACAAGCACCCACCCTGGGAGACAAATGAAAAGAACTGGGAGACAAATGAAAGGAAGTGGGAGACAAGCCAGCCAGGAACCCGACCACAAGCACCCAGCCTGGGAGACAAATGAAAAGCACTGGGAGACAAATGAAAAGAAGTGGGAGACACATGAAAGGATGTGGGAGACAAGCCAGCCGGGAACCCGACCACAAGCAACAGTCTGGGAGACAAATGAAAAGAAATGGGAGACAAATGAAAAGAACTGGGAGACAAATGAAAGCAAGTTGGAGACAAGCCAGCCAGGAACCCGGCCAGACCATCCAGCACCAAGGCGACCATTCTTTAAAGCATTGAGAACCCCTAACAGTAAACTGTTTGGGGAAAAAGGCAGCGTTCGCCAGCGGCTCATCCCAATGACGATGGTCACCCAGTTGCTTCGAGACCATGCGCAAAATAGCCCTATGAGGCCTAAGTGTTACCCGCCAAAAATGGCCACCCATGCGGCCGCCCCTGAGCCCATCTGAACCTCCAAACCATGCTTCTCTGTTCCGCCACGCGGCCTGAGAAAACACCGTTCCTTCAGGTTCTCTGGGCGCCCAACGACAGCACGGCGGAGCCGCAGAAGCTTCGCAGGTCCTCCACCTTCGTCCCATTATAGGCCTGGCGCTCCGCTCCGAGCGAGTTGGTGAGCCCCCGTGCGACCGCCCCCGTGCTCGCTCGCGAGCCCGAGCCCAGGAAAGCCCCCGAATCCACGCTGTTCGACCATTCAAGCCCGAGCCGCGAGCGTGCGGCCGTGCGCTCGAGCGCTCGTGCGCTCCATGCGCTCCATGCGCTCGTGCGGCGGCCAGCTCGCTGCCTCCTTTTCGAGGCTGCACAGCTCGGGCACCACCAGTTCCTTTCCAAGACATGTGGATCCACTCCAAGCACATTTGGGCAGCAGCCCACACTCCTGCACCCAGTGGTGCGGACCGAACGTTCCGTGTTTCCGGTTTCCCCGGCACCAGGCCCGACCGCGACGGAGTCTCCGGTGCGGTCGAACCGGTGCAGCAGCTAGTCCTAAGGACCAAACTGGACATGGAAGACAGCTTTTTGGGGGGAGCAACTGCTGAGCTTCAAAGTCGTTTCCAGTCGTGAAATTGAAACAGAAACAGGCTGGACCCTTACTATAGATCAATGAATGACAAAGGGCTCCCAGCTAGTTCGGCTTCCAAAGCTACCGGCGCCTGGAGGGCACGCCTCCGCAGTTGAAAATAGGTGGTTGGTAGGGTGCCTCTTTGTTAATTAGCATGCTGCGATGTCAGAAAAGGGTTCACGAGGCTCGTCCAAGAATATTTGGCGCTGTCAAAGTGTGCTTCATAGTCTCCAAATGATGCAAAAGGACCTCCCTCAATTGCACTGAAAAGGCCAACCAGCAGTTGTTCAAGCCAACCGTTTCTGGCCGACCACGCCTTCAAAAACTCAAAGATCAAACAAAAAACAGACTCAAGAGACTCCCTTCTTTCGCCGGTTTGGAACCAAAAAGCCGCCAGCGTCCTTCTCGTCTTTCGCATTCACACCTGATACGGCGGTCAGTGACCGCCAGTGCGACCCGCGGTAGACCCTGAGGCCCTGGCAAGCATTCCTGAGACGTGACCAGCCGGTGGGTTCTTCAGGATCCCAACAGGACATCGTCCACCGAACCCAAGCTAAGGTGCCCCAGAGTCAAACGAACTAACTCGGTTTCAAGAGTCGATTTCTACTTGCTGTCTCAACAGTCTCAACTACTTCTTCTTGTGCCAAGCATCTTGCTGAAGCTAGGAGTGAAGGCATCTTTGAAGCCGCAAGCTTCATAAGAGTAGTAGATGCTCTTCCCTCTCCTTGGAGCGTTTTCACCACAGCATCTCAACAGCGATTCTTACTAGTTGATCATTTCACGATTCAGTACCCAAGCAGCATGGTGGCGTTGAAATACAAGGCCTCCTTGGGAGGTGACTTGACGGTGCACTTACCTCAGACTTCGCAACATCCAGACCAACCACTGCCGCATTTGCCACGCCAGGAACAGCTCTCAGAACGCGCCACGGACCCAGCGCGCGCGTGCGCTAGGCACCGCCACAGGGATCCACGTAGCACCACTTCTGCTGGCAAAACTCCGGCGGACGACCTGGGGAACCGCGAAGATCCACCAGGAACCGCGGGAAGTTTCCCCCCCCACGGCTTCTTTCGACCGCCCCACCGGTTCGGAACAGGTCAACTTGCTCAAGGAGATGAATCCATCTCCGGTTCGGGTGTTGGGATGTCTGCCTGAAGCCTCAACTGATCCAAAACGAACCCAAATCCGATCCATCTTTACTCTGAACTGGCCGAGGTCGCGAGTCTCAGGGCCACCGGACTTGGTGAGCCCCGACGGCGCCGGCCTGACATCGGACGCGGCGCCCTGGGCCCTCGCGCCGGCCGCACAGAGAGGATGCAGATGTGCATCCCAGGCCTCCGGAAAGTGACGATCAAGTAAAACCGGGTCAGATTTCACCAGATGTCACCCCCACCCAGTCACACTTGATCAAGTTCGGAAAGCGAAGAAGATGAACGAGCGTGGGCCTGTGCTTTTTGGAGTGGGGGCTCTTGACATGTCTCCCTAGATGGACAGCCGGGAATGTGCAGCCTGAATGAGTGCGGTTCCCATTCCCGGTGGCGATGTAGTTGCAATCCCCACGTGAAAATGATAACATGAGTTGCACAAAAAAAGTATACTGTAGACTGTAACTGCCCATAAGCATGAATCTTATTATGAAAGTTATCGCGAGTGAAGGGAATTAATTGTAAGACCCTGATAAATTTTAATGAATGGGTAAGGAATTGTTGGTTTTCTGGGTTATATCTGCTAATAAAATAAAGATGAAAATGATAGAGAAATACCAATGGATATAGCAACCGCGGTGACTGATAATAATATGGTAAATTGATGTAAATTGTACCTTTTTCTCGGAGGACGTAGACGCACTCTGCCTGGCAGCTCCCTCCCAGCTCGGCCGGGTACTGGACGAGGCCATCGTCCAGGCTGACGGCAAAGCTTCCAGCCTGACGACTCGCGTGGCCCGTGGGCCGCACGTCGTCCGGTCTTGAAAAGTGGATTGGACAGATTCAGGGACGGTTGGTGAAATATGCCACTAACCTCGCTGGGGCCACCTCCATCCAATTTTTCTAGGAACTGATATGTCAGAGTCTGGCATGAAGCCGCAAGCAGCCACACTCCGGGCTCCAATTCAGAAGTGAAGCTCCATGCAGCTGCCGAGCTTTCTCTAAGCTTCCGCGCCCGATGGTCTATGCCAATGCACTTGCAACCGTCCACAGGGTCCTGAAGGTCCAGCGACGAAAGCGACGGGACCTCGCGGCCCTGCCGCGGGGAAGGAGTCGAGCTGCCGAGCCCGCCTGGTCGATCTTGGGGGTCTCGACCCCACAGGTATCATAGGAGTAGAAGAGAGGCATGTTCCTCGGTTTTTCCCATGTGCGTAGGCAACCCCAAACATGCCGCAAGCAGCGGATTTGGGGTGAAGACCCTGCCGCTTCCTGCTTCCCAGGTCACTGGAATCGGGCTGATGGCAGGTACTTGGACAGCGTGGGCACCACCTGAACGTCGGCCACGGCGGATGTCTTTTCGCGCGTTCGGCGTCTCGGCGGGTGTTCGGGGTTTTCGGTCACGGCGCAGGTCGGTCGCCCACCTCCAAGTCACACTTCCTCGCATCCACATAGCACCTTCCAGGCGAAGAAAGAGGCTTTCGCCACTTCAACCGGCACCATCTAGCTAGAAGCTACGAACGGTGCCCAAGGGCATCGCTACGAACCTAACAAGCTACGAACGTAGCTCCTGGCGCTAGGAACAAGCTAGTAGGTTGTTGGCACCACCATCTACAAATCGTTTTGGCGGCTCAGTTGGTGAAGTTGTCTGGTCATTCTCCAACTGCAAAACCAACAAACGTGAACTCATGGACATGGCATATGGTGTCGCCTGTTTGTCTTGGTGAGAAAGCTTGTGTCCCTGCGTTTTGGCCCTTCAAAGATTCATAGCCAAACCCTGGCCCTGATCTGCGGGCAAGTGGCCATGGCTGCTTGCACCAACTCTTGCGCCCCTGAAAAGGGCGATCAAAGGGGCTGGGGACTCGGGGACCCTCTTCCCACCCACAAAGACCTATATATGACTCAGAAGGTGAACTGCTTGAACATCTTCCAAGCGTCCTTTTTTCTACCACCGCCCCCAACTCCCACACCTCTCCCTCTCGGCACTCGGGATTCCGGTTCTGGTCCCAAGGCTGGCAGCTGCTGCCCAGGTCGCCTGCGTTCGATCATCAGAGCATCTCCCATGAGATTTTTTGTGCCGATCCAAATCAATGTTTTTAAATATGTATCACATTAGCCCGGGCCCAGCGGATGATGATGGTTCGGTTGCAGGCCTTTCTCGCCTTTCTCCAAGAAAAAACAGTTATAATCTGTTACTGACTGTTATTGACATATGATGGCACACACCCTACACACGATAACTCCATGCAAGGTGGCAAATTGGCAAAGAAGAAAACCAGAGCTTGCTCGACCTTCTTCAGCAGACTCGCCCGAAGCATCTTTCGTCTGCCTGATCTGGTTCACGTCCGATGTCCTTCCCCCACCTGGGTAGGCGACGTAACTCTCCCCCACCAAAGCCATGGTGACCCCGTTCACGTCCGCGAAGCCCACGCAAGGACATTTGGCTGAACCAAAGGCCTCCAGCGCCGCCTGGTGCGGAGCGGCGAAACGCGGTGAAGCGCGGCCAAAACGCGGGCGTTTCTTCAGAACCACGTGTTTTTCCGCACCAAGGAAGCACAAGTGAGTCAAGTGCCAAAACGGGACGTTATTTTAACAAAGCCTAACCATCCTAACCCCATCCAACGCGAAACATCTTTCTTGATCCCTCTCTCCATCCCGATGAGATGGGCGAGCTGGCCGGAAAATGGGCATGTTTCTTGAACGCTCTGGCGGATGTGCTGCTCATGATGGTGCCAAAGGAGTTCTCTAGCACAAATTGTCCCCACTGCGCTTCTGCAGCAAGCTGGCCCCTTTCAAGAGGAGAACCACAACAGTCAGACAGACCACGCTCATTTTGGCCACAAGGAATGACAAGAATAGAGTCACTGCAAGTACGACTAGAAGAGAGTCCAAAGTAAAGCCACCAATGTCTGATGGAAAAATGCTTTAAAAAAATGCCCCACAGTCAACTTCGACGGTGAAGTTGATTGCAAACCTCTTGCGCGGCCTGGGTCGCATTCTTCTCGCGGATCGCTCCTGGCAAGTTACACGGTCAAAGTTTGAGGCAAAATTCCAACACCCATAAAGGATTGAAACACCTGCCAAACCTATCTTCATTCACCCTGTCACGAGGGCGAGTATATACCCCCCCCCTTTGAAAAAGCCTTCGTACCTGAACTCACGTTCGTACCTTCCTCTCATCCTGAACCTGTATTCGATTTAGTGCAAATTAGTTACTACTAGCGTGGCACCTGTTACTAGTAGCTTCTTGTTACTACTAGTAGGGCACTTGTTTCTAGTAGCGATGCACCTGTTTCTGTTCACAACAAAACACCCAGAGTCGGTCCGGATCCACACCCCTCCCTGACGCCGACAGAAAAAGAGAAACAGCCTTCGGGACCCACTTGGATGGCGGCCGTCAGATGGAGGAAGGCCACGACCTCAGCTGAGTCATGAACCCGGCGAGGAAGGCTGTCTGAGTATGACTCACTTTCGCCGTTAAGGCCCTGGCCCACTTCATTCTGCCCGGGTGCCGTGTGGGCACTGGAGTTCGAGCCACCAAAAAGAAGACAACAGCCAAACTATGCCAAATTGATGTTGCTCTTGACTGACGATCGCGGCTCTTGCACTCCTCCCCTCAAAAAGACATGGTCAAGCACTGCTGTACTCTTTGCAAAGACATTTCGACCAGCAAATGCTGGAAAGATCTCACTTGGTTGCCCCGGTGCCGCACAAATTTGACACCTTTTAAAGCCAGCGCACACATGCGTCCCGTCGGGATCAAAGCCCTTTGGGTTTCCTTCAGGAACCAAACACTGGGACCAGCCCTGCCAACCACCATGACCCCATGGGCCCCATACTTGACCCCATACCGTATTGCGTGCGTGTTCCCGCACTTCGTCAAACACACTGCCTTGGTGGTTTGCCCATGCTCACGGGCCGTTCCCAATCAATCAGTGAATTCTCCGCCTAACTCCATTCATTGGGCGGCAAACTCTTTAACTTACAGTCCTCCCAAATGACTGGGACATTCGGAAGGTGCCCAGGTGACAAGCCTTGCTTTGGAAAGCTTTCTGCTGCATCTGCTTCGACGTCCGCTCGTTGGCCTCGAAGCCCACATGCATGCACAGTCCGTCCAGCCGCTTGGCCACGAGCCTGGCAAGCAGGGCGCCCCGCGGGGCCAGGAACACCACCGAGGAGCGCGAGTGCGCACCCCGTTGCCGCCGTGGGTTTCGAAGAACGCGGTTTTTTCCCTACGTTCAGGTCGCCCAGCTCCGACCAGATCCGTTCAACGACCCATTGCCTGACTCCAAAAAGGCCAAAAAGTCCCCCAGGGTGAGCGGAGGCGTTCGGCCTTGTTCGGCCTTTTCGGGGCCCCGGTCCGAAATACATACCTCACACGCGTGTCCTGCCACAGCTCCACGGACCTTTTACCGAGATTCATCACCCCAATGACATGTGTGACATGTGGTACTTTGGCAGCCTTAGCTCCGAATGCATCAGCACCTGGTCAATCGCGCGCGCTTCCCCTTTGCAATGCATAATGCCATTAATAAACTCGTGAAGTGTTACTTCCCCGTCGCCATCATCCAAGAGCTTGAAGAGCGCGGCGCTTTCTTTCACGTCCAAGTCGAGGGTCTCCAGGTACGCGTGAATGTTTGGAAGCGACAAAACGCTGGCCAGTTGTTGCTCTGTGATCATGCCGGTTTGGTTTACATCAATTGCAGTGAACAAGGCTTCCAGCTTCTCCACATAGACCCTCCGTCTTTCTTTCTTGTCGACCACAGCCAGATCTGCATCACTCTGGGCCGCATCAAGGGTGTCCTCAGGAGCTTCACACAAGTTGGAAGCCGTGAACCCCGAACGCGGCGAACCCGGTCGCAGCTTTCAAAGGGAATTGCCCCAGATCCGGGGTGATGTGAAAAGTGGAAAAGGATCCCGTTGTTGACCGCTGCTCCCACTACGAGAACCTTTGCCACCACTAAGGCAGTGCTACCTAGCGCTATTTCCACGGGTAGCCATGGGCCGGCTCCTGGGCAAAAAATAGCGACAGCACCCGCAGAGCGGCGGAGACCCAGGGACGCCTGACAGCCGTAACAGTCGTAACAGTGCGACTCGGAAGTTGGGATGTGAACTCCTAGGAGTCAATGCACAAAATGCACTGGGTGGAGTTCTGTTGCACTGGTTTGCTGCTAGTGAAGCGCTACATTTAGCCTGCTTGTGCGAATGGTAAACCACATCGCCATGACCAGAGACCAAAGCGAAGAACGCGATGATGGTGTCTGTTGCGCGATGCCCTCATGAATGCAATCTAGAATAGAACAGAAATATGCACGAGACACAGAAGTGGAGGGAACTGCCTCTGTCAGGCTGGCACAGGTTTGGGGGACGACCGGCTGCTAATTGATTCTCTGGGGAATGGCAATGACTTGAGTCATGGGAGTAGGACACTATGGCTCCTTCAGATCGGCTGTTTATGTTGGGTATGTCTCAAAAATAGTGCAGTAGTTGCTTGTTTACTGACTGTTACAGGCTACAGGTATTAGGACACCCCCAAATGTTCATATGATGGCCTTTGAGGAATTATATAATCGTTCTGTCAACACTCTTCATTTACAGCCCGTCGGTGAGTTGAGGGAAGAGCATCTGCCGGCGAAACATACGGCCCGTGCTGAACCGCAAAGCAAATGGAAAAATGCATGGGCTTTTCAATGCTACCCCGTTCTACCCCCATTCTACCTGCTATATCAGAACCCCGTTCAAAAGCGTGGACTGGAAATGGGCGTGGACTCCAAGTTTCACACGGTGCGTTTACGCACTGGAAGAATGACAAGGGACTTTTAAAAAGAGGGCCGATATCACTCTGATCAGCGCGAAGACGATAATGGTGATGTAGCCCAGGTAGAACAGGGCGAAGAGTGGACTCACAGCTTCAATGACAGGCCTCGCATTGGTTGGCCTTGGGATGCACCCAGCAAGTGTGAAATGCACCGAGCAAAATCCAAACCCCAGAAAGTCCACCAAACGGCTACCAGAAAGTCCAAGAAAACATGGCTTGGGCCGACTGTGGCTTTGAGCCCAACCCCTAACCCCAACCAAAAAGAAGAAAGAGCTTCTGAACGGGTTTCTCTATGTCTATCGAGATCTATCGAAGACGTGTCTGACCTCTCTACAGACTGACTCAGTACAGAATGTCCTCGACTCTTCTTGGACCTTTGGACTCCTACGGCTGAGCTGAGCCCCAACAAATGTCCAGTCCAAACAGACCCAGTTGCCAGTTTCCAGCAAAGGTCACCTGACAGCGTCGCCAAAAAGACAACTCGGACATGCGCTCGAACTAGATCAGTGAATCAGTCACTGCCTGCTGCGGTCACTGCCCTGGACCCTAGAGCCTTGATTAGATTTCATAGATGAAACTCTGCACACATCTGATAACAGGCTTGTGACAATGTCTTGAACATCAAACGCACCACTCCCAAAGCGGTCCCCCCGGGCGTTCAAACATGAGTGCCCTCCAAAACGAGAGCTCGGAAGGCTGTATCTCCAAGTGGTTTTGTCCAAAGCCCTTCGGGGACTCGTGTGAAGATGCAGCATTGCCGCATGGAGGAAAGCTGTACCAGGCCCACCTCATACATGGTGTATAGGGCTCGGAAGGCTGTGCCATAGCGCGTCCAAACCCAGATCTTCTCCTCGAGCTCGGTCGCAGGATCAGCCACAAAGGTTTGCAGAGTCGTTCCCAAAGTCAACGCACCCATGATCATGAAGACCGCAAGTAGCACCTCACTCACAGGTCGATGCGGCATCCTGAAGTAAACGAAACCATCTGCAGAGGTTCCCCGAAAACAGGATTCAGGATCCCACACATACCCCCCAACCACTGCTTGCGTGGGCGTCATGCAGTTGCCACCGTCGTGGTGAGGCCCAAGCGAAACCATGCCATGTTTGGTGCCAATTCCCCGTGCTCCGCGCCACGTCACCCGCCTCACCGGCCCGCGCGGACGCCGCCGGCCACGGCGTTCACCGTCGGACCGAGCGGAATGGCCACGGCTCCAAGGGGCCATGGACCAGAAGAGCGACGGCAGGAAGCACTTGCACGCCGTCACCAGCAAGCGCAGGCCCCGCACGAAGCGGAAGGTCCGCACCAGGCGCAGCGCGCGCATGGACTTGAGGCTGCGCATGAGCTTCAGGGAGGGCTCGTCCTGAAACGACGTGAAGCGGAGGTGCCAGCTGCTTTGGCTCATGGTGTTATATATCCTCAAGCTTTTCAGGTACCATCAGAAGCACGCTTCCCCCCAACAGGCCTTCTTCTTGAATCTGGAGTTCTTCCACCTTTGATCTGCTCCGAACGCTCGTGCTTGTCCGCCCCCTCCCAACTCCCAACCGCTGACCGGCACCCCGCGGCGCGGCGGTGCGGTCCTCGAGGTCGGTGAAGCTGGGATCGAAGGGGCGACTGACGGCCACATCCACCACCCCCAGAACCACCAAGACACCGTCGAAGAGGTTCGCCACATCCTGCAAAAAGCCACATAGGAAAGGAAGGGATGGCTGAGTGGCGGCGAAGAGCGATCGCGAGGAATCCCATGGATCGGAACCTCTGAGAAAAACACGGGCCGGGTGGGGTTGTGTTTCTGGGCGGGTGGTTGAACAGGGGGGGTGAGGGGAGAAAGCGTTTCGGAGCTCCGAGGGCTCCGAAAACGGATTGAGGTCTTCCAGGTGCTCCTGACACCGATGTGCCAATGAGTACTCCATGGCTGATTTGTCCCCCAAACAAAAATTTCCCAAGCGGTCGAGAACAAAAAGTGCCAAGTGAAGCTATGTTAAGCTTCCAGGAATTCCACAGGGCTGCTTGTTGGAGGATAGGGCGGGATGCCCATGATCCGGACCAAAAACCACCCAACTCAAACACCAAAAACCACCCCCTGGTGGTCCACTGGATCGACCAATCCTCGGGCCGACGCCGCCCGAAATCCGCGGGAAATCCGGTCCTGGAAAAAGCCCTGCCGCTCCACCGAGATCCTCGGGCCGCGGATCGACGAACAGGTCGTTTCTCCAAGGGCGCCGCCACATGCGTGCGCAAGAGACAGACGTCCGTTACGTTACGATATACAATACATGCATATTACATTACATATTACATTGACTTGCATTGCATGATATACATTTACTTTAGCATATGTATACGTGTGCATTTACATTACATACATACATTGTATACATCGTTTCCTTTCCTATGATGTCTTCCAAAAGCCTCAAGAACCGTCAAACCGGTCGCAAATCGGCCTTAACAAGAGCTCCACGAGGTAGAAAAACACAAAGGAGGACTCGGCGGCCTCCAGCCAATGCAATTGTATACTATGCACGTGTCTGCATCTCCTTGCCACAAGTGCTGCCGTCTCCCACAAACCAAAAAAGGTGTGTGGGTATGTGTGTTCGTCCTCTCCAACCTCAGCATGCTCGGTAGCAAGTTCACCCTATATCAGAACAACCAAACCGGGCTGTCGCCCTGCGCTGCACCTGAAAGCAGCTATGTCATTCAAGTGTGAACACGGCTTTTCCAAAAATCAAGCGTTCCTCCCCATCCGGCTATGGATCACAATCTGGTTCACCACATGAACAGAATTGAAGAATCTATTCACAAGGAGTAGTCAGTTCCACCTACCAAAGCCTGACGCTTCAGGCTTGGACCCAACTGTGCCATGTCATGGGGCCCGGATTCGGAGGCGGCTGTGCCTGGACCAGCTGCAGCTCGTGGGCGTAGGAGGGCGCACTCTGGCCCAGGAAGACCGCGGCCGAGCGGCCCTCGAGTTCCAACTGCAGCAACATCAGCAGAGAGTTAAAAAGGACCTGGCGCGAACGCGTTTGTCGGCGAGGTCAAAAACGCTGAAAGAGAACAAACGCGAAAACGCTGGCGCGTGCTTTTTCGGGGAAAATGGGGGTAGGGGCAAAGGACGCACACGGGCGGGTAATACTGAAGTGACAGGTTCTGATTCACAAAAAATTGACTGAATTAGGATCATCTGACGGAGCCTACCCCTTCAGAAACCCAGGTCATTTTTTCCTCTCAGACAGTCTGCCCTTCTACGCCGGGACACGGCGATCCCCGCCACATAATCAATCCATGGGAAGAGTTGGCATCGCCAGCACTTCTCGCTCTCGGCGCTGAAGAGGCTTTCCATCTTGGCGGACTGCCGCGATCTACCCGCAGCACTGGAGAGGGAGTCCACCTTCTTCACTGCCACCATATCCACCATCTTCTCAGAGATCGCTCGCACTAGCGGAGATCCCGTCCTGAGATGGAGGCCGCAGTCGCGCCGCGCCCTCTCCACCCGAGGCGGCGCGCGCGCGTCCGGCCGCGACTTCCTCGATCTTCTGCGCTCCAAGGATCTCTACTGATAGAACCGCATCCTCCACGTCGTTGGAGTCGAAGTCGACTTCCTCTTCGAAGGAGGGCCAGGGGTCCAAATCCTCTGGCAGAGCCGGCTGCTCCGGCGGCACTGGAGCGAGAAGCGGAAAGACGTCCAGGCCTGGCACGCGGAGGCCCGGAGGCGGTCCGCGTCTGGGCGAAAGAGTGGGAAGGTCCCTAGTAGTGGGAAGGTCATGGGAAGGTCCGTGTTAGCCATGGGATGTATAGGGATATCACAAATTGCCATCAAAGTGCGTATTAAAATAATGGCTGATGGTCCTTTACCAGGACTCCTTCCCCCTTTTTCCCGTGTGCATCCTTCCGGGGCGAAAGAGGATTTTAAAAAAAACAGGGCCTCCTTCGTCATCGTTCCACCTACCACTCCCGCCCCCAGTTCTACACGTTCCGCGGCTCGCCTGCAGCGAGGGCGCGCGGCTCGCTGGGTTCGAAGATCGAAGCGAGGCCCTGAAGGGTTCGGAGCCACGCTTCGTGCTCCTTGCGGAGTCCCGGGGGAGCGGATTCCGCGGATTCAGCAGCCAAGAACCAAACGTTCAACTCAACTTGGATGCTTGTGGAATATGTTGAATAGAAAAATTCAACCTCAGTTACCAGGGACACCAAGTTCTTTCTTGGGACCTGTGGGCTGGCAGGGGCTTGCTGGGGCGACATGCTGCCAGTCGACCTTTCTGCGGCGTAAGGGGAACGGAGGAACCCTCCGGCCGGCCGTTCCGGGGAGGAGGTTCCTTCCACTAAGGCTCCCAAGCCGCTGGTCTTTCGGGCGCCCGACATGGCATGCCGAAAAGTGCCGCTGACACTCCGAACTCACGTGTTTCCATTGGAACCACCGCCGTCCGTACGTCCTTCCGACCGTCCCGTCCGTCGCTGAAAGCGGGTTGCCGTGCCACGGGCGATCCCGGTGTCTCCTCCTCGGCGCGCTGCAACAGCTTGTCATGCTCCGCAGCAAGCCGCTTCAACAAGTCCTGCGTTTGGCCGCGCGGCCCTGAGGTGCCCCAGTCATCTCCGAAGGTCTACCCACCGTGGCCCGGAGCCCTGTTTGGCTTGATCAAACGCCAACCAACTGCGAGTTTCGACATCCCACCCAACCTTGAACTGGTCGCCCGGCTCCATGGCGAAGAGAAACGTCCAAAGAAAAGCGACTAGTGACTAGAGGGCAGTGGAATGTGTGTTTTATGTTTGCCGGTCTTTCACGAGGGTTTCGCCTTGTAGGTGTCGCGGGTTTCGCGACTCCGTTTCAGCCGCGCGACTCGTCTGCTTGGTGAGCCGCCATTGGTTTGTGACAGTGTAGGGTTCCCCTGTTTGCGTTGAAGATCAGCAAGGCCTCGCTGGAGAGCATTGAATTAGCTTCATGCAAGCCAAAGGTGCAAGCCAGATGTGAAAACCAAAGGTGCAAGCCAAATGTGAAACGAGTCAAAAAGCAATCGTTATGGAGCGTATTTTATAGTATTAGTATATATATATATACATGCAACTGGGTGAAGGTCGGCAGGCATGGGGCGCAGGAAAGCCGTCCAACGCGTCAATCAGATCGACGGATTCGCAGGTCCCGTTGGCCAAGTCGATGTTTTTTCGGCCAACGCAACGCGCCACTTTGTGGCATGTTTGAGCCTGGCGACATAACGAACAAATGGAGATGGTCAGAAACTGGTGACTGCTAGTTGCGGATGCCTTCTTTCTTTGCTCTTCTTCTTATTATTGTTATTGTTGATATATATATATATATTATTATCATTATTAGTATTGTTATAATTATTATTATGAAAGTTTTTCTTATTAAAGTTATTCTTATTCTTGGTCTTCTTCTTCTTCGTATTCTTCTTCTTCTTCGTATTCTTATTCTTCTTATTATTCTTATTATTATATACCATTATTATTGGTATTCTTATTCTTCTTGTCTTCTGCTTTTGTGTTATTCTTTGTTTTCTTCTTCTCCTCCTCCTTCTACTTCTTGTCCTTTTGCCCTTTGGGCCCGGAAGCCTTTGTTTTGACAAGTTGCCGTTTCTGCCCACACTCACATCGAAACAAAGCCGCGAGGCAGCCAGAGCCGGCCATGACGGTCTAAGGACCTGTGCACCTAAAGCCCCTCTGAATAAGTAGACCCAGACAAATAAAGGGCACTGCTTCTCGTGGGAGCAGGGTCCTCCGAATGCTGCTGGTGCAGCTTCAGACTCAGCAACGGAAGCACAAGAGTCAAAGCTTGTGTGGAAAGCCTTCTGCTCCAACGATCTAATTGAGGGATACAGTATAAGGCCCCCGGTTACCGAACGGTTTTTCCCTTCCTGGTAAAGGTAATTCGCTGCATTTACATGATACAACCAGACCTACCAGGTTGTGGGCTGTTCCCATCCCCATCAAGGTGAATGGAACTATTCCAGCATCCGACGTTGAGGCAAAGACCTGTAGAGTCGGGTGCTGGGGTGCTGGTTTATGATGAGAACTGGAGTCAACTGGACAGAGATTTCGAGAATCTCCGCCATGGCCTGAAGCTTCAGGCTTCCAGATTGCTGCTTTGTGCAAACCTGCTCACTTTGAGCAGGTTGGGTCGCTAACCGCGTCCAGTCAAGGTTGCTCACAAAGTTCTGAACCGCAGATCTGACATGCAACTCATGCAACACTCAAACAAACCTGTGTGGAGGAATCCATGCAGTTCAGCGCAACCTTGCCACACAGTCACCCTGCCTTCACAGGGCTCCCGCGTGGTGAAAACGCGCCAGTGGCACTTGTCCTTCGCCTGCCCGAGCTCAGCTGCTCAGCTGCACAGCTGCTCAGCTGCTCAGCTGAGCTCAGGCGCTGCGTGGCAGCTGCGTGGCTGCTCGGCTTCAGCCGCCCAAGACCCCATTCAGCGTCCCGCGCAGCGCCGCCAAAACTCTCTCCTCCTCCGATCGGTCCCGCGTCTCGCCCGGCGCATCGGAGAGAAGGCCCTGCCGAGGTCACTCGAAGAATCGGCGTTCGCCCATTGCGCGGCACACCCGGTGACCGCGGCTCGTCTGAACTGAAAACGAAGGTGAGAACCAGTGAGAACTAGTGAGAAAGAAAGAAAGAAAGAGAGGACAACCTTCAAGACTTCGACTTTCTTCGGGCTATCGGCCGCCTTATTTTTCGGCGGACCCACTCCAAATGAAGTGTACTGCACACAACCTAGTAGCAAATGGCCTCCACCCTCCCCCATCATAGTTCCCCCCCCAGTGCCGGCGCCGTCCGGCCTTCTTCACCCGCATGTGGATTTCATGGCTGTGCCCTCCGCGGATCGTGACTGTGGCACTCTGCTCATAGAAGAGGTCCAGCTTGAAATCTGCCTCTCTTCGCAATGTGAGATGCGCCTCACCTGGCTGAGTGGGGAGGAACAGCAAGTCACCAGCACCTTGGCAACGTCCGGTTTTCCAGGGCCCTGACGGATCCGCACGGCGTGTGGCTCCGGATCCGGCCCAAGAGTGGCCACCAAGAGTGGCCGCGTGAAACACCGCGAACACCGGCAGGCCCATGCACCGTTCTGAACGGCCCTGACCCGCACGAACCGCCACACGGACGCCACACGGTTCTGAACGGGTCGACCTGCCGACGGCGGATGCGGAGGGATGAGGAACGGTGGGGGGTGCATGAGGAAGGCGGAGGAGGAGGCTGAGGACTATGATAGGATGGGCACGGACAAGGAAAGATGCGGATGAACATGTATCCAAATAAAGCTCAGGATGAGGATGAGGACAAGGATAAGGAACCAACAGGATTTGAATCAAATGAACGGAACCATTACATAAACATTGGCTAGCGAGAAATTGCATCAGCCACAAGGAAAAGCGTGGGATGACATGTCGGGATTTCTCTTTTGATTGGTTGAAATGTTTGAACACAAACCGTTGAACATGGAACATTCACATTTAACATCGGTGGTCTTGGGGATCCAACGTCCATGGGTTTTTGCTTCTTTTTGGTTCAACGGACGAGCGTCTCAGGTGATGCTTCTGGACCCCAACTTCAATCTCGTGCGCAGGCATGAAATCAGCGGTGACCTGGTCGTCCTTCCCATCATAGCGCTTCAACAGGTACACGAGGGGCTGCGAGAGTCCCTCCTTCTTCTCTAAGGCTGAAATCAAAGAGTCCACTAACTCGAACCAGTGCTGTTTCCAACAAAGGCCTCGGCAGCGAGTACAAGTCACTTGCGGCAGCGAGTGACTTAAGCCCAGCACAAGCGCACAAGGCAAGCAAGCCTTGGAAGTGCACCAGTTTCTCAGCCAAGGCACTATACACGGGCGGAAGTTCTTCTGGGGGAATTCCAACATCTGCAGCTAGTCCCACCGCTGCACAGTAGTCCCTGGAAGCTTCAAGAACAGTTGGAGGGGTCAACAACCAGGTGGCACACTTCTTCAACACAAGAGGCAAACATCATGCAAACAGCCCAGCCGGTTCAGCCCTGCACCTGGCATTCTTCTCTTCAAAGCTTCGGTTCAACTCGTGTTTGGCATAGTCCCTTTTTAACACTGAGTCCTGCCACCATGGATCCAGCAGCAAAAAGGAAAAGGGACGCCAGGACTCAGCCAACCGTTGGTGCCAAAGCACCAGCCACCACTGACTATA